CTAATATTGTTCCGGCTTTTCCGACTGTTCACAGAATTCTTTCTCTTTGTTATTCTCCACTGAATCGTCAACCCCTTCGCAAGGAAGACGTTTCATTTTGTCGTCCATCGAGTGTTCTTGTGGTTGACGAAATCGACATGGCGAATCCATAGTGAAATTGTTTATTTGGTCATTGTACATATAAATCGGGGCTGACTCCACAGGCGACATACCTGTTGGAGGAGTCATATTACCAGCTGAGATATTAGACGATGGAATACCCATAGCTTTGGAGACAGTTGGAATGGAGAAACGGCCAAGGATCTGGCCATTCTGATAGTCGGTTGCTATGCCGTTCCGATCAGTGGGATGAAACGGAGATCCGTTTTGGGCCGAACCAGGATAACCTGGAATTAATGTGAAACCACTGAATAATTCCTGGTTTTGAAGAATGTCGCCTCTTATGATGTAGATGTCCTGAGCATTTTCCAGATCGTCACAGCATTCAGTACTAAGAACGTAGGTCGAACTTTCCTCGTCGCCTGGTTTAATGTAGACAGCGAACGTAATGTAATCAAGGACTAATTCGCTTTTGTCCTTCAGTGTTCCAAGTTCGCCATTACGCAGCGAATGTCCATCAATCTTTACCGATTTGCTCTGACTAATATTCTTGATGAAGAAGGTGTCAAGATCGCAATTCGAACCCCATATTTCTATATAGTTCCTTGACATGCACTTGTCGTTCAGGAAGACGTCCGCATTTTTGCTCCGACCCACCAGGACACGATCATCGACCCTTTTCACGATCGGTGATTTGGGAAGATGCGATCTGATGGCTTCGGGCATGCTCTTCGCTTCATAGCGAAGACATAAATGACTGAGATTGGTTTTTTCCGTTTCAGTATTAATCCTCTCCACAGTGGACAAATCTGTATCAACCATTGGTGTACCTAAAAAAGTAACAGAAAACATTAAATATAAAATAAAAGTGTGTTTACATACATATCTATCTCAGTTTGTCCACATCTGCAGTAATTTTTAATATTTCGTAGTTAAATTAAAATAACAGTCCGTTTCATGCTTAAACGCAATCGCCAGGCCTGATTTAAGCATAAAACAGATTGTCACCACTAGGCGTTGACATTAATGCCCACTTTTATAATTACATACGTTCTATATCTAACATCGAGTACTTTAAATCATAAATATAGCATACCTTAAAACCACACACACACACACACACACACACACACACACACACATATAGATAATAATCCGTTGGTATATAATCCAAGTGAATCCTATTAATACAATATAAGATATAAAATATTAAATATTAAAACTGATTCACACATAGAGCAATGTTTTAATTAAACAGAGCAACGTATTTCATACAATAAGGATTAAGATTACATTAGGTTAATGATCATTTTCACCTTGTAAATTTTATTTAAATTTACAAGGATTTTTCAAATCAATCAATGAATGATAAATTATTGAAATAAAAATGGCCAGACAGAGGAAGGAAAGAAAGAAGGAAAGAAAAATGGAAAAAGGAAAAAGAGAGCAAATAAAAATAAGGAGGTAGTGCAAGCCTGTATATGAGGGGTGATCAGAGGAGAAAAGAAGAAAAAAGGGGGGAGAGAGAAGAAATTACCTATGTATTATATAGACAGTAGCAATCAGAAGGTAGTTCAGACTTAAAGAAGCCCTTTTTAAATCTATTAACAAAAATAATATATTAAATAAAGAGGTAAACCCATTTATATACAAAAAGAATTAAATCGGAATTAAAGATATTTTAAAATAAACAATATGCCAGAAAAATATGAACAAAAATAAAATTAATATATTGAAATAATTATAATTATCTAAGGATGACGTATCTAATTTAACATCTACATTTAAATCAACATATTTTAAATAAAACCTATATTAAATAACACCCATCTACAAGGAAAAACAGTTAATATTTATCAGCTAATATATAATATAATAAACAAGAAGAGGAAGATTAAATAAAAGTAAAAATCTACATTTAAAATTAGAAAAGAAAGTGAATGAAGAAGTACCTTTAGAATAAAGTGAAAGAAGTGCCTTTAGAATAAATTTTCTAAGATAACATTATATAATAAAAATAAATATATTAATTTAATTAATTATTTAATAGTAAAAAATTCAAGATAATATTAAGATAATATTACATAAAAAATACCAATAACTATTAATAAAAATATTAATAAAAATACATAAAAATATATATAAACTCCTTAAATGTTATACTGTGATAAATTTTCAAATACCACTTCAAACCAAATAATACAATATATATCATTAAAATACACTTCAATACTTCATATCAGTATCATATATTAATATATAGACCATATATTAATATATTAAAAAGACCAATAATATTAATGAATTTCTAAATATTTCATAAGTAATCATATCAATTAATTCAAATAAATATATAAAACTGAGTCTATAAAAACATCATAATTATGTATTATTACATAAAACAAAACTTCATAAAAGTTATATTCTAGTATATTATTATTACGTAATATAGCTGTAAACTAATAATAATTATGATGTAATTATTAATTGTCACATAAATTAACCCCTTTATATAATACTACGATATAATATTGAAAAATGTGATATATCTATTATATATATATATATATATATATATATATATATATATATATATATATATACAAACACATACATACACACATATACACACATATATATATATATACTTACACATCACCACATATATACACAATATATTCACAAACATACACATACACACACACACACACACACACATATATATATATATATATATATATATATATATATATATACATACGTACTAAAAACACTTGAAAAATATGTGAAAATTTATTTAAAATTAGAATATAATAAGAAAGGAAAAGAGGGTAAAAATGAAATAAAAATAAAATCGAAATCTAAGAAAAAAAAGGAAATTAACATCACTAATTAAAATATACATATACATAAAGATAAATCAAAATTAAATAAAACCAATTAAAATCCAATTCAATAAGGATAATTCAATAAACGTTACCTTATACTAAGAGAATAGGATAATAATGACAATAAGGGTAATATTAAATATATTATTGATGGTCACCAAGGTATTAATAGAATTTAGTGATAGAGAAAAGTTATTTTTGTAATGGGTAGGTGATGAGAAATTTTCGAAGGATATAGAAGGGCCGGTGGAGAAGTAGAATATACAGTGGAATTGTCAAATGATAACAGTTCATGCCATTGTCAAATGATAACAGTTCACGCAAGTTCATTCAGAACGGAGGATAAGCAGAATCCACAGTGTAATTGTTAAATGATGCCAATTCGCGAAAGTTCAGTAAGCGTCTAGATAATTTTAAATCTACATCGATGACGATATTTAGAAATTAATTCGTTCCTTTGGTGTAAAAGTATATTTGGACATCCAAATTTAATTTCTAATTTTCTCTTGTAGGCATAAACCACATCTACCTTTAAAATTACTAGGAGTATGAGCAAAACCTATGATTTTCCAGCCAATGTGAGGATTCAATTCTTCCTCACTCAATTCCCAAAATTTTTTGGAAAGTGCCGTTTGGAATTTCAATGTTGGGTTGGAAAACGAGCGCCGATGGTTTCGTTGTTTCCATTCACCCGCCGAAATTCCAACATAAATATTGTGGTTGTTCTTGTTCTCTTTAGGGTAAATAGTTGCTTGGTAAATCACATTAGAGGCTCTGCATTTTCCTTCTACTGGACAGAGTTCACTATTTCTACAGTTGCATGGGGCATCCATACTAGGTAAATTGTTGATACCATAAAACTTATTAAGAATAACTTTTTATGGGAATCAATAATTTTGTTGTACAGGAATAGATTATTTTGATAGTTTTTTCTATTTAGAGGGTGGTTATTTTTTAAATGTTTATTTATAAGTTTTAAGAACACTTGTCCGATGTTAATTTTGGATAACCTACAGAAGGTGGGGTTGAACCATATTATATTTTTCTATTTCTACGCTTATTATCTAACTTAGCGTTACTTGTACGATAGTTTATTTTTAAAACCATTTTTTTTTTTGGAGTGCCCTACTGTACAATCCTTTGTTTTTATTAAAGCTATATTTATTAGAGGAAAGTTTACCAATCCTAGTTCCTACAGTGATAGGTATCTGCCTTAAAATAGTATCAGGGTGGTTCAAGTCTGCATTAATGTAGTTAGGAGTTTCATGATCCTTATGGTAAGGTTTAAAGGTATTGGTGTTCAGGTCAAGATTGATAGCTAAATAATCTATAATTTTATGGTAAGATAATCCCCGGATACTTGAAAGCATTAATAATTTTTTCTGTAGTTTAATAGTGAGTGGACCATTGCTATTAGGAACATAAATTTCCGTTGTCTCTATATAGACCTACTTGCTTCGGATTTACGATTCTACTAAGGATCTCAAGAATATATAGACAAACAAGGTCAGCTACCCGGACCGAATCATACACTACCATTGGAATGTCAAAGTCATCACTCTTGTATTTAACCCAGGTGATCTTGTTAAGTGTCAAGAATGATTTCCTGGAAGTAAATATAATAATTTCATCATCAGTTACATCCATGTATTTTTTGCAAAGTTTATGCAGTCAACCAATAGATTTCTGGATATAGATGAATAATCAATAATATCAAAGGTGACTTTCTTTTTACCACTGAACCATTGGTATCAGAAAAATCCTTTCAAAGATTGGCCCCAGTGGTGATCACACGTCTATCTGTAATTTAAGCTCTGATTTAGTAGGATTTATTAGCCTAGGTTGAGTGTTTATTCGAGAAGTTAGGTTTATGATCAGTGAACAAAATATAGGCATATCCAGACGACTTACACTGCTTCCTTGTTTTTATTTGCTCTATTTTTCCATTTTTCCTCTATTATTTCTTTCCTTCCTGTTTGGCCATTTTTATTTCAATAATTTCTCATCCATTGACTGGTTTGAAAAAATACTTTGAAAAGTTGAAAATGGTCATTAACTTCAGGTAATCTTAATTCTTATTGTATGTATATATAAATATGGAGCATATTTTCATTCAAGCATGTTTGTTTAAATAATGTAGACGTACTATGTCTATTTATTTTAGGTTTAACCTTTCAATCCCACGAATTATTTTCTTGGTGGCTGCAGAAAATTGAATAAGAAAAATTTCAAAATTTTCTTTCAAATAATTTTTATTTTCCCAAGTACTTTCAACCTCATCTGTAACCATCTTCAGGTGTTTTATATCTATGGATGTGTTATGCGTTAACACCGTAAATTCAAAATATTTTTTACCTTTGTGATCTTTTTAAAAGATTTTAAAATAAATTAAGATTTTTTAATTATAGTATTTTAATATAGTATTTCTATTTAACACTTTGCTGATACAAACATTTAATAACTTTGTTGCTATACTCATAGTTGACGTTATTTATTTTTGGCCGCAATTCTCTTATAAAAAGGACTTCCAGAATTTTAAGTTTTTGCTTATTATTATCTTGATGGAGCAGTGATGTATTTTCGACTAACATCTGTCTAAACGATGAATTTGGACATGAGTATTCCTTTAAATGTTCTGAGATTGAACTATGTTCGTTCAAATGAAACGTAAGCCTTCTCGTCATCGTCGTTGTTGTAAAACATACATATGATTATTTACCTAAAATATAAAAAAAGAAAAATTCTGATTTGGAATCATTGCTGCCTGACTGAGCCCATAGCAAGCACAACACTTCTAACAGTTACCAGTTGGAATAACACCTTGATATTTTTAATGCT